TTGTCTCTTGACCAAAACGATCAAGATTTCTGATAAAACCGTACCATATCCGGCTTCCTGATTCTAAAGGTTGCCATCCAGAAAAGTTAGCTCAAGGGGTTGCGTTTCTTATGTTTTATCTTCCAGGAGAAACATAGGAAATTTTCAAGCATTCAGAAAAAACGTGAGGAGCGGTACAGTGAACACCCATGGACCCACCCCGAGAGGACAGACTAGATTTTAAATGCAAAGTCCTAGAGGCAGCCAGCTAAGAAAATGTGCCGCAGAAGCCTCCATCCCTCTACAACAGTGGTTCTCAACCTGTGGGTCGCGACCCCTTTGGCGGTCGAACGACCCTTTCACAGGGGTCGCCTAAGACCATCCTGCATATCAGATATTTACATGACGATTCATAACAGTAGCAACATTACAGTTATGAAATAGCAACGAAAATAATTTTATGGTTGGGTCACAACATGAGGAACTGTATTTAAAGGGCCAGAAGGTTGAGAACCACTGCTCTACAACCAAGTAGAAGAAAAAGCCAGCATTTTCCTCACTGACTTGCTGCTCGAGGTGGGGACAGACTACTGAGGAGGGGCCTGCCACTGCTTCCCCTTCCGAGGGTACCCACAGCTGGCACAGAGCTCCGTGGGCTGGTCTCAGAGGAGAAGCCTGGATCCCCCAATCCTTGATCAAAAGAAAACACGCCTCTCCCAAGCCCTAAGGCCGGCCAGCTCACCCAGGACACTCACACTGTGTCAGGAAACCACGGTTCTAACATTCATGATGGCTTTCTAACCATGTGAAAATCAGCCTCCTCGCCTGCCCAGAGAAGAGAGCATCCTTTCCTTAGAAAATACTTTCAGAGGACTAAAAAAAGATCAACAGGAAAGCTACAAGGCACCATGCAATTGCAAGGTTCATTTTACATCTCAGTCTCACGGAACGCTGGTGTTCCAAGTACCACTCCCCGCCCCACATTTCTCAAGAATCAGTCACAGTTATCAAAACTGCCCCGTGGTCCCACTGACGCAGTCAGCCCCGTGTGTGAGCTTCCTGTCCCTGGGGAGCGTTCTCCACCAGCAACCTCCACCCCCGGCCAAATGGCAGGGCCACCAAGGGGCCCCCACCCCTGCCTTCCCCAAGGCCTCGCTCTCCTATAGTCACGGGACACAGAACACTCTCTGAAAGCCCCCGTTTCGCTGACACACTTTCTAACGAGAGCACATTTCATCCAGAACCCTATCTGTGTCAAACACTAAACAAGTCATCAAGGAAACAAACAAAATCAAGGCTGCTTCCTGCTCTGTGTCCAGGCCCAGACCTTCCTAAGAACAGGGAATTCTAAAACACCAGCAGGCACTATACATGCCTCTCTAGCATGAGATCTAAATAACTCATCACCATCTACAGAGGGAGGGGAAAAGAAAAGCACATTCTACTTCCTTTTCACGTTAATTTGTGTACACGCAACTAAGAGGGAAAGAACGCTCCACGTCTGGACTCTGGTATCAGAGGCAAAGCAGCCCAGGTGCCATTTCCCATTTGGCCCCGTGAACGACAATGCTGAGGTCGGTGGAGGAAGCCCAGCCACTGCAATAAGATTATGTTCACTGGAACTGAGCAAAATGAAATAATAAGACCACCCACCACACGTCTTACTTTTACAGCGTTGATACAGTGCTGCCACAGTAACATGTGGGCAGAGGGGACCATTACAGTGCACATTGGTAATACTAGGAACAGGCTCAACCCTGGCAAGTTGATAGTTATTTCCTTGGCCTTAAATGGGTACATTTTAATGACTTAAGTTTAATGGAATCACACCCTTGCTTAAATAGATCCTTAAAGATTACTTTATATTACTAAATCTCAACCGCTTTTAAGCATCCATTGCATTTGCCCAAATAAGAACAAAAGATGTTTCTGAAGCCTGATAATGCTCACTTAAGAATCTAGCAAAGTCCAGCTCCACTTTATTACTTCATGTTACTCTTAAATTGTCAGTTATTATACATGAGCGGGGGGGGGGGGGGGCGGCCCCTCAGCACGGCCTGTGCCCTCTAGCAGTCCAGGAGCCCTCCGGGGATAAGCTGGCAGTCAGACATCCCTCTCGCAGTCTGGGACCCCTCGCTCCTTACTGCCCACCTGCAGCAGAGGTGGGAGAGGCTCCAGCCACTGCCACTGCTGCTGCACTAGCCAGCCATGAGCCCAGCTTCTGGCTGAGCGGCGCTCCCCCTGTGGGAGCGCACTAACCACCAGGGGGGCAGCTCCTGCGCTGAGCATCTGCCCCCTGGTGGTCAATGCGCGTCATAACGACCGGTCGTTTGGTTGATTTGCATATTACGCTTTTATTATATAGGATAATTGAAGCCATAATTTCTGCAATACCATTAAGTTCACATGGGGGCAGCCTTAAAACTCTATCTCTGGTTTTTATTTTAAAAGAAGAAGCTTATGAGAGTTGATCTCACTCACAGTCACAAACCCAAAGGTGCTTAAGGCAGAAGACTGCCAGAGGGACGGTAAGGAAAAAGCCCCAGGACATCCGAGGTGTCTGTCAAGCTGGGACAGGGCCTCTGGCCATGCTGCCAGGTCACGCCCCTGCCCCTCCCCACTTCGGAAGGAAGTAGCCTGGCCTCTCGGAACTGCTGCAGGCTCCAGTCATTCCACCTGTGGCCGGCAGCCCATATCCATGTGCAGGAGTCATCACACATGATGAGAAGAGGTGTCAGCTGGCCTCCCTCCACACACACTGATGCCACGTTCCACGCACGTCTAGGAGGAGATGTGTCAGAGTCACAGCTGGTGGTGTTCTGTGCTTCCTCGTCAGTCAGCAGAGAGAGGAGGGGGACTGCAGCAGAAGCTACCCAGGCAGCTCCTCCAGCAACTCTCACTGGAGGTCCAAGGTGGTCTGCAGCTGAACCTCATAGGACACCCTTCCCAGATGCACCTGCAGCAGAACCTAACAGGACACCCTTCCCAGATGCACCTGCAGCAGAACCTAACAGGACACCCTTCCCAGATGCACCTGAACAGACCCTAGTACAACACCTTCCCAGATGCACCTGGAACAGACCCTAACAGGACACCTTCCCAGGTGCACCTGGAACAGACCCTAACAGGACACCTTCCCAGATGCACCTGGAACAGAACCTAACAGGACACCTTCCCAGGTGCACCTGGAGCAGACCCTAACAGGACACCTTCCCAGGTGCACCTGGACTAGAATCTGAGCTAGGACATCCTTCCCCTACTTTTCTCTTGAAAAGCAAAGGAGCTTAAAAAAAAGGTAGGGGGTGGTGGGGGGGCGGGGGAGTAACAGGCTTATTGACTCAAAAAGGCCACCAGGAAGAAACAAGTTTTATCTTTAAAAAGGCATCGCAGCTCTGAAATTATCCCAGTGCAGGGTAAGTGGCCAGGCAATTGTTAAGAAGTGCGGTGAGTCCTCTCAGAAGAAGTAAAAGTGCTTCCCACACCCTGCCGGCACCTTGGGAGGACTCCTCCCACTTCCTTTCTCCTAAGGCCACTCTGATAGTCACTGTAACCCCTAATCCTGCGAATAAACTCGGGGGGGAGGGGAGCACTAGGAGTTGGAAGTACAAAGAGCTCATCCCAGCACCTGGAGGAGACTCAGAGCAGTCGTGGTATTTACCAGGCAGGCACTGTGACACTCACTGCCTCTCTGGTCCTCGTGACAACCCAGCTGACAACTCAGGAAACTGAGGCAGGGAGGACGAGCTCCCTTACCGAGACAATGCTGTAGGTGGTGCGGCCAACAGAGCCCTGGACACACCCTCTGACGTATGAAAAGCAGGAAGACTTTGCAGCAGATCAGACCTTCAGCCCAGAGAAATCTCAATATCCTCCCACAAATCCCCGCAAATAGGAAGCAGGAAGACTCAGAGATGCGAGAAGCACAGAAGAAGGTCACCCACAAGTGAAAAGTGTGTTTTGGGACTTAAATTCCTAGTCTCATATAATCCAGCCCCTCAAACTGACGGCTCCTGAGTGAACCTGTCCTTCCTGAAGCATTTGGCTAACTAAGCGGTTTCATCTGTTCCTTTCCCGTGACAATATCAGGCTTTGCAACTGCTCTGAGATACACTTGACATCCTTATATGATGAATTATAAGCCACATCTTTGTCAGCATATGGGTAATGGTAACACTGCATATCTGGCCATGCTCTATTCCAGTGATGGCGAACCTTTTGAGCTCGGCATGTCAGCATTTTGAAAAACCCTAACTTAACTCTGGTGCCGTGTCACATATAGAAATTTTTTGATATTTGCAACCATAGTAAAACACTTATATTTTTGATATTTATTTTATATATTTAAATGCCATTTAACAAAGAAAAATCAACCAAAAAAATGAGTTCGCGTGTTACCTCTGACACGCGTGTCATAGATTCGCCATCACTGCTCTATTCGTTTACTCATGAAGACCCAGAAACGCCCAGGAAGGTGAAGTCATAACAGCTTCCATTTCCATATTCATTTCAGGAAACTGACCTACAAAATCTATCTGCCCAGGAAGCGTCTCTTGATCCTTCCTCGGTGGGTGGTAAGGGTGGATTCATGCCACCTTCATCTTCATGGGGAAGTGAATCTCAGCGTGGGGAGAAAGGGGAACGGGAAATAAAACCAGGACGCAGGGTAGATGCTCCTGTTTTCCTGAGTGTTAGAGTCAAGAAACGAGGCTCCTTGTGCACGCAAGGGAACAAGCACAGCTAATCCACAAACGCACCTGGGAAAGTCCCGATAGGTCATTAAGGGCCTCTTCCCTCCCTAAGCTTTAGTTGTTGTATGAACTCCTGAAATATGGCAGCAACATTTATAAGACGTTTGGTCAGAACACACACAGAATCACCCCTGAGACTTTAGAATAAAGTCTCCTCTGGGCAGGACTAAGTGGCCAGAAGCGAGTCAGGCAGTGGAGGCCTGCCTCCTCCTCCCCACGCACCGGTGGAGGCCTGAGGCTGTGCATCTGAAGTAGCCTGTAAGGAAGAGGTGAGATGTTCAGGCAGTTTTTTTATTTTAAATGTTACAAATTTTCTCTAACAAATAGAAAAATCTATGACTTGACTAACTAAACAATTCAGTAAAAACATAATAATAATCGTGCGTGATTGCAGACGGGTGTGCAAGGAATCCCTGGCTCTGGTGCTGACACAACTAGCTAGATCTGCCCATGGTCTTCAATCTCTTCATTAGGCACAGAAACAGTTCCAACCTAAGAAGCAAAAGAAAAACAAGATTTAAAACCAGCAGCCCAGAAGAGAAAGACCTATTTTACCTACTATCAATCAAAGACCATCACAAGCTTGCATAGTTTTTCCCGTGTTCCATACCTACTGTGCAAACCACAGTAAAGAACTCTCTCAATTTGTAATTCACACAGCACAGGGAGTCCATGTTACTATGCAAGGGTATCAAGAGAATATTCAAAAGACAGAATTCAATAGCATTGCAAAAAACTAAATAGCAAACCCTCCCTCACCCCCCCCCCCAAAAAAGTCTGCTTGTTGTAATTTTGACTTTTACAACTCAGTATCTCAGCATTTTCCCACTCCATTTGTCTCAAAGGCTTATTAAAATGAATACTCCAGCCCGGCTGGTGTGCCTCAGTGGTTGAGCGTCAACCTATGAACCAGGAGGTCTCAGTTCGATTCCCGATCAGGGCACATGCCTGGGTTGTGGGCTCAATCCCCAGTAGGGGGTGTGCAGGAGGTAGCCAATCAATGATTCCTTCTCATCACCGATGTTTCTATCTCTCTCTCCCTCTCCCTTCCTCTCTGAAATCAATAAAAATATATTTTTAAAAATGAATACCCCAACTGGGACCTGAAGACAGAAGGGCAGCATCCATATGCTCAGAAGTGAGAAACCCCATTCCTTGTCACACTGGCTCCTGCACCCCAGCCCCTTCCTGGGAACCCCAGTTTGCCTTGCCTCTCTGAGATCCCTATTTATTATCATCAGGAACAAATTGGTGCAATTACTTCTTTTGAGAGGTGACAAGTTTTTGACGCTCTTAGCAGAAAGAACAGAGCACTGGCAACAAGAGTAGGCAAACTTTGTATGGAACACCAAAAAAATCACAAAAGAAAGATAAAGTCAGCAACCTTGGAAGTAGAGGTAGGTGTACAGAGAGAGAAACCGGAGGGCGAGGAGAGCACCAACTCAATGAAAAGTGGCCGGAAACCAATCACATCACACGAGGCGCTGTCCACGCTACAGCTGATGACACGTCCCTGATTCCCAGGATAAATACTGATGTGCAAAACTAAATCAACTCACTGCACCAAGAATATGCTTCTTTTTTTTTTTTTAAGGTGCCTGAGTAATTATGAGAAGAACTAGAAATGATCTTACTAATATGACTAGGAGTTGGACTGGTGAGTCAGTCCATATACATGACATCAAAACCAAGATGATCCGATACATTCTCTTTGCAATTCAGAAGAATGCTACTACTCATCCCCTAAATCACTGCTTTTTAAAAAATCAACTCTAAAAAAAGAGACAGCCATTTGAAGAAGGCTGGGAGGAGGAAGACAAGAAGTGACTCATAGCATCCAACAGCTTGTAGCCTCAAACCATAACAAGAATATAAAACCCGTGGGCCCAGTCTAAAACAAAATAGAGCTGTTGTTACGGCTTTAACCTCATAAAGTTCAGATCTAAGCAGGAGTACAGCACTGCAAATATCTTATAAGCATTTGGAGCAGTGTTACAGATCTATGCCTTAATGTGTGTGTATGTTTACTTTCCTAGCTTCCTGGACAAACTTGACACCTATATTAATTCATAGAGAAAAGAACTTTCAAACGGAACGATTTTCATAGCTCTGAAAAACTCTTAGAATTCAAGTCCACCCACTTCAAATCCCACACATGTCAATGCTGCCATCTTATAAATATTTTTAATGCAGGTAACAATATTTTACATTCATCAGGCCGAGTACTCCACTTCACTCACCGTGATACATAGGGCTACGGGTGAGATGGATGTAACAGAGTTAACACATTTTGTAACTATGCTGAGATCTGATTCCAGCTGGAGTGGCTCAGGGGCCCCCACAGCTTCTATTTCCCTCCCTCTGCTGACCCCTTCCCTTCTTCCTCGCCCACTTACAACAAATTATCAATGAGACTTTGGGGGGGGGGGAATTTTTTTTTACACACTTGTTTTCCAGAATCAACTGTTTCCTTTCCGTGAGGAGAATATACACAAAGTTTGGGTGGCATTAGAGACAGCTGGGTCTTTGCTTACTGACCTCAGAAGGTGGTCCTACGCTTTAAGCTTCCACAGAGCTGTTAGCTCTGTAGCACCAGGGACCTCCAAGGAAAGAACAGGGGCTGGAAAGTGGGTGGGGGGACAGAATTCGAGTTTAGAGCAAAGTGTATCTGATATCTTGGGCCCAATAGCCCTGGAAATGCCACCCCCTCGATCAAGGGTGGGGAACCTTTATTCTGCCAAGGGCCATTTGGATATTTATAACATCAACTTAAAATTTAGCCTGCTGTATTTGGTCAAACATACCAAACGATTTCTCCAGCCTCATAAGCTCCCCACCCTGCCCTAAGTGCACACACCTTCCAAATGCCACCTCATGAAGATCTTACGCTTTGGTGACAGGAATGTGCAAGCTGCTTGTGCGCTGCTCATCTGCAATTTTTTAAAAAAATTATTGGTTCCTTGACTAGCACAAAAGGCTGACATTTCAGTTAGCATTCACCTCCTTAAGCAGATTCGTACTTACTAAGAAAATGTTCAAGTTGGACTCTATGATGGAATAAAATGAGCCGTTAAAGTAACTGGGCATATTAATCAGCCAAGCAGAGCATGGGCTGAGTACCCCCCATAAGCAGAAGGTAGGAAGTAAGTAGTTATACCAACAACTAAAAAGCCACAAAGGGTTTGACATGCCGTATATTTTATAAAGACGCCTCTTGTGCAAACAACAAATCTTTCGCAGGCTATACCACAAGGCAATGTCCCCAGTTCTACCAAAGAGCCCAGCCGCTCCTGAAAGGGTGGGGCGAGTGCCTCCGTGTACGAGCATCATCCGTTCACAGAGAAACTTACTGCTCAATCTCAATCAACAAACGAGTGTTTTAAACAAGACAAGTCTGTCTTTGAGAAGTTTTCTGTTTCCTCTCTACTTTGGTATTTCCATTTAAAGTTATCCCTTAAGCCAAATGCTTATTCACTTATTAATGAAATTACCTGGGGACCCTCTTAAAGCCAAGAAGAAAAATGCAAGATCCCAAAAGCCAAAAGAAGGGAAGAAAGAATGATCTAGGAAAAGGGGTGTCGGCCACTCCACCTGGCATCCTGCAGCGGACAGCTCACTGGCTGGCTTCCTCCCCGGCTCACATTCAATCCCAAGTATTTGAGCAGACCCACCAGGCCTGGCCCCACAGCACCGACTGTAGCTGCTAGTAACCACAGGAGGGGCCGCCTGCCACATCTCCTGCTGACGAGGCTGTTCTAAGAGGCTGTTCTAAGGGAAAGGCGCTGGCTTTCCCCAGTGAGGGGAGCACTGGGTCGTAACACACAGCAGAGTGAAACAAGGAGGCAACCAGCAGAGCAGGAATGTACCCTGAGTTCTGCAGGCAATGGCCCCCCAAAATAAAATAATATTAACATCAATAGCAATACCCAGCCGACAGTGCAACCAAAGCAGGGCCACTGTCTGCAAATCCCAATAATGAGCACGATTAACCGCCCACGGGCCACGTAAGAACTTTGATAGCCCACCCTGTTTTTTCAACCGACGTGATGCGCTGAAAACAGACTTGTTTTTTCCATCCTCCTCTGTAGGAACCGAGCACTGAAAATTCCACATGTTTCCACAATTTTTTCCAATATTTCCATGAAAACTAATTTAAAGAATCCTCTCCCCATGAGTCCTGATGGAACAGGAAATGTGAAAGCAATATACTTAAGTAATTCGGCACGAAGGCTTGTTTTAACTTTTCACTGTGGAAGCGGGTACGCTGGGGCATTTTTTAAGTTCCAAAATGTAGAGAGATACAGATTTCTGATCCTTCCACTCGTTGATTTCTCCTGAGCAATACTGGAAAACAACCCGGTTCATTTCATTTAAGCCAGTAAAACCGCTTATGTGCTTATAAGACCTGAAATTCCAAAGGACCTTAAAGAGCAACTCTATCAACTCAGCAGGGACAAAGCAAGACAAGGGGGTAGGGGTGGCACAGAGGGGCTGAGGCTACACCAGCTGATGCCACAAACCTCTGATTCTTTCATTCTTCAGGCCAGGCCTAGCAAGGTTTATGTAGAAAGAAAAACAATAATGTGCTTCCTGAATGCAAACACACACATCCCTTTCTCTGCCCAGACACTCAATGAGAAATTCATTAAGCCCTTTTATAAAATCTGTTCAGAGAATGGGGTTGAGCACACGTTGGTCTAAAGTGGTTTTGCCATCCTCTGGGCAGCAGGAACATATTACTCACCCTCCGAGAGCGACAGCTGGTGGCAGGTGAGTGCCATCGAGCAGGGCAGTGTGTCCCATGTACACGTTCGTAAGGGACCATGAGTGGCCGCTCCCAGCATAGGAGGGGGCCGGGATGCACATTCAGAACACTGCCCCAGATTCAGAGAGGCAAATACGAGCTTATTTCCAGGCTGACAGGGGGAGGTGAGCAGTGCTGTGGAGTTCAGGGGCTCCCCTTTGCTAACAGAGATACCGTGATGACACTTAAAACAGACTTGTTTTTTCCATCCTCCTCTGTAGGAACTGGGCACTGAAAATTCTACGTGTTTCCACAATATTTTCCGATGTTTCCATGAAAACTAATTTAAAGAATCCTCTCCCCATGAGTCCTGATGGAAGAGATGCAGACAGAGCAGAACTGCTTGTTTGAGATGATACATGGGTGATGGGTGCTGGGAATCATACAACAGCAGTGAGGATGACAGACTAGAGCTCTGAGGGGCTGATGAGTGAGGGAGAAAACCCATCTGAGCATCGACACAATCAAATAACTCCAGCAAATGTTTTCTAATACAGACTTCATCCCCTCGAGCACTGTCCACAGCACACACTTTACCCACCACTGTACATCTCAACAGTGTTCCCCCGTGGGCCTACTCTGTATGGCCTACCTCTCGGCCCTCTGGGGTACTAGCGACGCCCTCACATCTTCAACCAGGTGGAACAGTGTCTGCTCAGCACAGAGTCCAGGAAGCAGCCTCCTTCTGCTATGGGGCTGTTTAACTCTACGGATCATTGGGATACCCTGCAGAACCCCAGATCTGACATAGAGACATAGTCCGTGGACCACGGGAAAGGCAGCTAACACCACGCCACAGCCCCATCCTTTATTCCCTTCTGTGCCCTGCAAGTGTTAAAAAGGAAAGCATAAAGTCAACATCGGCTCCTCCCTGCTGATGAAATTGGCACGAATGAATTTACTTTCTGGCTGCCGGCCCTCACAAAACCGTTACACACACACACACACACACACACACACACACACACACACAAAGTTCACCACGCTGCATGCTCCAAATATAAACCCGAGACAGCGGCCCCTCCCCACCCACCACAGCACGTTAGTGGCCTTCTCGGGGTGAGCCGGTGAATACTGAACAGATATTAAACATTAACATTTTGGAACTTTAGTGGGTGTTTTTTTTTTAAGGCACAGCAAAACCCGATCTAAACTTATGACAGTTGAGCACATGATCCCATCATTAAGAGCAAATAAGAAACCGTACATAACAGTCCACGAAATCACGGCAGCAAATCTGTCGCCAATTCCAAATCCGAGGGATGAGCGCCAGGCAGGGAACCTGGCCTGAGGTAGGAGGTTTGCGAGTCTCCCACCCTTCGCATCACAACACACACGAACAATAGTAGCGCCAGCTTCCCCGAGCCGTAGTAACACCAGGATGGCTGGCACATCGGGGTTCAAACCCTCAAGTCCAACGACAAGTTTCGCATTAGAGCAAGGCCGGGGGACTGCAGGCCGAGCGGCGCGAGACGTCCCCAGCCTGGGCCGCGGGGGCAGCGCGCGGACGCGCACAAGGACACGGGCCCGCCAGGCCGGCCGCTCCATCCCGCGCCCCAGGCCCCGCCGCAGCGCAGCCCGCCGACGACGCGCCGTGGCCCGGGTGGGGGCCGTGACACGCACCGCGGGGACCCAGCGCCCCTGAGACCACGCGCCCGCCCGCCCGCCCACCCCGCAGCGGCCTCCCGGAGACAGCGCGGCGCGGCCCGGCCGGGCCTGTTACCTTCCGACAGCTCCAGCTCCAGCTCGGCCAGCCGCGCCCGCACCTCCAGCGGCAGCGCCATGCCCTCCAGGCTGCGGTCCGCCATCGCGCCGCGCCCGCCTCTTTGTTTCAGGCCGCGGCTTGGCCGCTCCAGCGATCCCGGACCCGCACAGAGCGGCGGCACCGGCGGGCAGCGCTCCTCCTCCGGCGCCTCCTCCGCGCGGCCCCGCAGGGCGGCCTCGCGCCCGCGCCCCCGCGTCCTCGCGCGCCCCCGGCCCGGCGCGGTCCCGCCGCGGCTCGGCTGCTCCACCGGGTGCTCCCCGGTGCGCGCGGTGGCAAGGGCGCCAACAGGGCGGGGGCTACGGGCGGGGGCGCGCACCAGAGGCGGGGTATGGGGAGGGCGGGAGCGCAGTGACGGGGGCGCGCACCAGGACGGAGGCTGCTGGCGGGGCTTGCGGGGTGCGCTGGGGGATATGGGAGTGGGGGCGTGCGGATGTTGCGCGGTGCGGGGAAACGCGCCAGGACCGAGGCGCGCACCGGGATGGGGACGCGCACAAGGGCGGGGATGGGCGGGCCAGCTCAGCGCGCGTTCCTGGAGCACACGCACGGGTCCCGCGGGCCCTCCCCGCCCCGCCCAGGACCTGGCTTCCCTCTGGCTTAAGGCAAAAAATACCTGCTGGATCCCCCCCACCCTCCCAGGTTGAAACTTCAAGTATTCTGGGTTTTCAAGGGCTGAATTTTTTTTATATGAATAGTTTGGGGCGTTGGACGGGACAGTGTGGGCCATGAAGCGAGTACCGGGCTGAAAGTTCCTAGAGCCCACCAACCTGTGCTCTTGGCTAATCAGAGCATCTGTCAGGCCTTGTTCCCCACCTTCGAAAAGGAGGCTGGAGGAGAGGGAAAGTCTACTGTCCACATCCAGGCCAACCTGAAAGACCGTGGCCCAATGGCACGGTCCCCAGCACCCCACCTCTCCCCGGCTGGGGGCTCCTGTCGTCCTCAACAGGTCCTCTTCCCTGGGCTTCGTCGTCACTACCCAGGATTCCATCCCTTTTTACTTCCATTCCTGTGCGTCCTCCCCTCCCCCACCCCCCACCCCAATTACTAGATCTGTGCCTCTGGGCATGATCGTTTGGGGGAGGCTATCTCATGCCTCCAGCTGCCCAACAGAATCACCTGAGATGCCCAGATACCTAACTTCTTACAACCTGCACCAGTTTCCTAATTCTCCAGGCCAGAGGGTCCTCAGAGACGTTTGTCTTCCTCAGTCTTCCCGATCCTCTCTGGACAAAGTCTGGGGCATCTGACCTCATTTTCATTCCTGTAACCACTCTTTCCACTGAAGCCACTGACTGCCACGCACCTGGCACGTGCCACCGACTTCCTGGTCAGTTCCCCACCACCGGTTACTTGACCCTGAAGCAGAGTCAGCGCCCAGAAGCTCCCTGGCATTTCTTCCCCTTTCAAAAGTAGGCGGTTGTGCCCAGCGGGGGCTCAGCTGATTGGAGTGTCATCCTGAGGGTTCGATCCCCAGTCAGTGGCGTACAGGGAGGCGACCAATCCATGTTTCCTTCTGATATCAACCTGCAGTCCCACTGCATCTCCCATGGGCTCCCAAAAGGCCTCCTGGAGGCCTTTCACACTTTCCTTCAGAGTGCGCCCTCACCCAAGGTGCCCACCTGTCTCTCTGCCCACACCCCTTACATCCACCCCTAATGTCAACTCAGAAAATGTTCTCCTCCTGCCTGCTGTGCTCCCACTGCTCACTGCCCTTGTCCTGCCTGACCTTTTTTTTATCATCCTCATCGGCCTAAGTGTAAGCTTCTGGAAGACAAAGACTAAGCCTTCTTCATCCCTGTATTTCCCAGTGACTTGACCGTAGTGGCAACTTAGAGAGTTGTGGGCATTTCTCATACGGACCTGATTTTTCGGTGGGGACATGTGAGAGAAGTGGGCAGCTGACAGTGACAAGCTTGAAAAAGGTGGACATGGAGTCAATGGGCACTGCTGGCCTCACCACCATCTCTCTCCTTTTCACGGTAAACAGACCGCTGGTATAGAGAGCCTTAGAGGGGCTCTAGTCCAGTCCTTCATGCTACAATTGAAAAGCTTTGCAGCGGTTCTCAACCTGTGGGTCGCGAACAATGAAAATACATCCTGCATATCAGATATTTACATTACGATTCATAACAGTAGCAAAATTACAGTTATGAAGTAGCAACAAAAATAATTTTATGCTTGGGGGTAACCACAACATGAGGAACTGTATTAAAGGGTCTCAGCACTAGGAAGGTTGAGAACCACTGTGCTAGAGAAATAAAATGCAGCAGAACCAGGATTCAAATCCCAGTCTGCAGAGCAAAGCGTGGCGTTCCTTACAGCAAAGTGGGGCTGCACACTCCACTCAGCAAGCAGTATCAAGCCGCTGTAGGGCAGGATGATGGCAAAATGAAAATATATTCCCTTTTCAGTGCACAGATGGGCCTTGATCGTTTACAGAAGATGCTATAACTGAGGTTGGTTCCAAAGAAGACTACTATTTTGCATTAAATAGCACATCGATAGCAGGCTGAGATTCCAAGCTGCCGGTTCATTTTAACAGGTCTTTGGGTGACTACAGATTGGATAGTGTACTTGTGGAATTTCCAATGGCCTTATAGATGTCTTTATCTGGAAATTCTGCCATGTCCTCAAAACATGTTCTGTCCAAATCAGAAATCAGAATCTTTCATACCCACCAAACATCAGTCTCCGCTCATTCTCTGATGGTAGCCTCCCTTACTCCTTGTTACCCATGTTTGAACCATGCCTGTTATCAAGTGTCAGTGATTTCTACCTACAACTGTTCTCTGACGCTCTCTCTCCTCCCCTCTGCCCAGGACCACTGCCTAATTCAGACCTTCAGAGCACATCCCTCCACCCCCCACCCCCAAGTGTTTGTCCTTGTAATCTTTCCTGCCATGGCTGCCAGATCACTTGTTCTAAAGTGCCACTCTGAGCAGGGGACAGTCCGGGCTCTGCCTTATACAGGGGTCCTCTGCCTACAAGCCTGAGAGCTCCCTGCTTTGACCCTGAAGGCTTCACAGACCCTGGCACAAAGCTCTCTCCTCTACTTTCTGTTTTGCGGCCCCTGCCATGCACCCGCGTTCTCAAGAATTCTCGGTTGTCCGTGGGGAGTCCACCACTTCTTGTGTCTGTTGCTTGTGGACATGTTCCCTCTTCTTGTCATCCTGTCTTCCTTATTCCCCAGCCCGAGTCACAGCCACATGCCAAATGTTACACCTTCGAGTTTCAGTTCAAATGCTGCTTCTCCCATGAAGCCTTCCTTCCTGATCTGGTTGGGAAGATGCTCTCCCACCTCTGGGCTCACACACCTCTTTGCCGCCTGGTGTACCTGGATTCGTAGGTCATCTGTGCATCTCATACGGCAGCTAGTTTGTCTGCAATTCTTCTGCAGTGGTGAGGGACCTAGAAACAGCATCTCGTTTCTCAAAGTGCAGTCCAGCACTGGAACCAGAGCAAGACTGTTCCCTTATCTCTTCTGCTGCAGCCTGGCAGCGTCAAGGGGTGCTGGGCTTAGTGAAAACCCTGACTGACAGTCGTGTGTGTCTATCTGTATTAAAAACCTGGTTCTAATGTGTGACTAGGTTGCACATAACAATACCCAGTAGAAGTTTATTAGAATGGAGTCAATGGGCGCTAAGGGCTATTTGCCTCAAAATCTCACCAAAGCCCCTAGACCCATGGTCAGCAAACCGCGGCTCTTGAGCCACATGCGGCTCTTTGGCCCCTTGAGTGTGGCTCTTCCACAAAATACCACGTGCGGGCGCGTGCACACAGTGCGATTGAAACTTCGTGGCCCATACACAGAAGTCGGTATTTGTGGAAGAGCCACCCTCAAGGGGCCAAAGAGCCGCATGTGGCTCGCGAGCCGCGGTTTGCCGAGCTGCAGTTTGCCGACCACTGCCCTAGACCAGTGGTTCTCAACTTTCTGGCCCTTTAAATGCAGTTCCTCATGTTGTGACCCAACCATAAAATTATGTTCGTTGCTACTTCATAACTGTAATGTTGCTACTGTTATGAATCGTAATGTAAATATCTGATATGCAGGATGGTCTTAGGCGACCCCTGTGAAAGGGTCGTTCGACCGCCAAAGGGGTCGCGACCCACAGGTTGAGAACTGCTGCCCTAGACACTCCATCATCACAGTTACATATTTATTTTTTCTTTTTTGTTAAACCTCACCCAAGGATATTTTTCCATAGCTTTTTTTAAAAAATATATTTTATTGATTTTTTACAGAGAGAAAGGGAGAGGGATAGAGAGTTAGAAACATTGATGAGAGAGAAACATCGACCAGCTGCCTCCTGCACACCTCCTACTGGGGATGTGCCCACAACCAAGGTACATGCCCTTGACCGGAATCGAACCTGGGACCCTTCAGTCCCCAGGCCGACGCTCTATCCACTAAGCCAAACTGGTCAGGGCTTTCCATAGTTTTTTAGGGAGAGTGGAAGAGAGGGGAAGACAGAGAGAAATATCGATGTGAGAGAAACACATCTATTGGTTGTCTCCTGCACAAGCCTGGACCAGGGCCCAGGCCTGGGAGGAGCCTGCAACCAAGGTATGTGCCCTTGATTGGAATCTAACCGGGACCCTTTGGTCTGCAGGCCGACGCTCTATCCACTGAGCAACCGTCTAGAGCCAGTTACATCTTTGAAGTGTGGTCAGTTGTCTTCAGAAAGCTTAAGTAGAATCTCATGGCTGCTGCTTGGGAGGGGTCACACATCCTTAGCATTTGTTAACACAGGAGCATAGTTTAATTTGTCAAATAAGCCAGCTTTGCTTAATAAAACCCAGAGGGTCTGAGATACAGTACAAACATCTAGGTGTCCAGGAGACAAAGGTTACCCCGTGAGG